GTAGATAGTTGTATGTCATAGCTGCACATCCTTCTAGTTGCTGTATGTGGGACGCGGCCTCAGCATGGCCGGAGAAGCAGTGCGTTGGTGCACGCCCGGGATCCAAACCTGGGCCGCCAGTAGCGGAGCGCGTGCACTTAACTGCTAAGCCATGGGCCGGCCCTCAGGACCCTTTTAAATGCTTAAAAATTGAGGACCCCAGTCACTTATATCTATTATTTACCCTATTAGAAATAAAGCTGAGAAATTTTAAAAATACTTACTAACTCATTAAGAAAATAGTAAACTCATATGTTAACATAAAATATTTTCATGAAAAAACTATATTTTCCAAAATAAAAAAACTTAGTGGAAAAAATGTCGATGATTTAGTTTTGAAAATCTCTTTAATGTATGGCTTAATGGAAAAGAGCTAGATTCTCACATCTGGTTCTGCATTCTGCCTCGTGATATCACATGTCACATAGCCTCTGGAATGTTCCACTGTGCACTTGTAAGAGAGTGAAAGTGAAAAGGCATATAGTGTCTTAATATTGTTGTAATAAGAGTTTTGACCCTACAGGCTCCCTGAAAAGGTCTTGGGTACCCTGAAGGTCTTTGGACCACTTTTTGAGAACTGCTGCCTTAGAAATCTGTCTTTCCTTAGTATACCTTCAGTAAATGCTTATTGACCTGCTTGCTATGTTTCCCCACAGTCATTTGAACAAATAGGATGTTGGCTGTTACTTGATAATTTTAGTTTCAGTAGGGCATAGCAAATATATTTCTTTGTCATTGTAAAATTTTGTATCTGGGCGGAAATCCTTGGCACTAATTTTCGCTATTCCCAGGAATTGAACATGAACTCACAATGCCAAGTTCAGTGGGTTTTCAGATATTTCTGCTTAAGAAGTGTAAACCATTTTGCCTTGCAAGGTTACACGTGACAGGACCCAGCCGGTATCTTTGCAAACTTGCTGGTTAAGGTATTCCTGAACTAAGACTGAAGGAGTATTTACAGCTTTTTGGTAGCATCATTACAAAGTAGCAAAAGTCAGAGTGAATCAGAGAAGTGATCCTGACAGGCATAGATTTTTTTTTTCTGTGAGAACAATTGCCAAGGGCTACAAAGTCAGCCTTAAATGAGCTGTTCTGTGGTGCTCTGCTTGCATTTCACATGGCCACCACTAGGGGATGATGGTGTTTCTATTCTGCAGTTCAAGGCCAGATGATAGCTACCTATACCCAGAGAGCCTGGGAGCTCGGTGGTATAATGTATGACCCCATTTACCTGTGCTTTTTTTTTTTTAAACCAAACATATTGATTTAGCTTCAGTAGTTCGACTTTTACTTTTCCCTCATAAGTAAAATAAGGTCCAAGGAGGAAGTAAGGTTAAAGAAATAAAAGCTTCAAAGTAAAAGTACACTTGTCACTACCTATTATAAGCTCCTTTACTGTAGATATTTGCTCTTAAACTGCTCCTAACTTGAACATGAAAAAGCCTTTTTGTGTGTCATTTTTTGGCCACATGACTTGAAACTATTATTCTCAAGATTGGAGCATACAAACTGTAAATTCTTTTCCAGTTCTTTCTCTTTATGTTTCTTTGTGCCTACACGTCTACATGCTCACTCTTAACTCAGATCAGATTTTATTGTTTTTGGTCAAAGGCCGTTTCAAGACTTATAGAGCAAAGAGCGGGTCTGCTGTGGTCTTCAGATCACGTTGCAGAGGTGGAAAATCATTCAGAGCTTAAAGAAGATACCTGGCATTTTAGAAGTAGTTTTTAAAGACAGAATCATAAGCCCAATATACCACCAATTTTTCAAGTTATAGTATCTAAAATAACTTTGGCTCTGATTTTTTGAAACGGATAGTTGAAAAAGAGGTTTAAAAATTTCTACACTCACCTGTCAGACTCTGCTTTCTCTGGAATTGATCTTGAGTAAACACTTACTGAACAGAGTAGCCACAAGAAACCTCCTGTATAGATCCAGACATGAAGAGTAGGATTTTAAAAAAGCAAAAAGGTAAGAGCCTCTTATTCAGACTTACTTCACTCCCTCAGAGTCTCTCCCTTCTAAAGGTGCCTCCATTTAATCACCTGCCTTCTTAAAAGAGACAAGATACTTTTTCTTCTAAACATTTAGAACCACCCAACCAAACAGGACATGTTTTGAGTAAGTTATATAGGTTTTTCCACAGGTAATAGTGAACATTTTTTAGGAGAGCATGATTGACTTTCATAATAGTGACTATAAAAGTTGAGGGCATTCTAGGGCTGGCCCCGTGGGCTAGTGGTTAAGTTTGGCATGCTCTGCTTCAGCAGCCTGGGTTCAGTTCCCAGGCGCGGACCTATACCACTTATTGGCAGCCATGCTGTGGCAGCGACCCACATACAAAAACAAAATAGAAGAAGATTGGCACAGATGTTAGCTCAGGGCAAATCTTCCTCAGCACAAAAAAAAAAAAAAGTTTAGGGTACTCTAAATAGCTTTATCTTCCCCTAATATTCTCTGAATCACTTTTTTTCCCCAACAAATATTTGTTAAGTGCCAGCTGTGGGTTTGGCACTGGTCTGAGTATTGGATCCAAGACTTAAAGCCAGTGGTGGGAAATGAGTTCAGTTGCTCCGCTTGACGTCATCACTGGCTTTGCATCCTGACTCCGGTGAAGATTTTCCTACCTTGGGGAGGGCTGTGGCTATTCCATTCCTTAAGGAGTTCTAAAGGTTTAAGGTGAAGAAGTAATTGAGCACCTGTGAAAAATTAATGTGTCAAAGCCAATGGCGACCCACAGAAGCCCACAGCTGGAGAGGATGAGCAATCTACTTCATCCTCATTTCAAAAACCGTATTTCGTCTTTCCTTCTACCTTTAGGAATGTGTCTAGCTTTTTCTTCTCTCTCTCTCTCATCTTTCTCTTCTGTTTTCCCAACCCATTCTGTTTGTTTATTGTTTTTCTCTGTCATCTTCTTATTAGAACTCTTTTTATTGGGCATACTATGAAATCTAGGCTCATTGAAAAATATTTATTGGCTTGAATAAAATAGCATGCCCCATTCTTAATTTTAAAATCAGGTTCGCAGGACCATTCATAAGTAGAGTTTGCTTATTCCAAGAAAAAAATGATCCTGGGCATTTAATTATACATTAAGGATGCTAAATAGTTTCCCTAATTTTTACTACAGTATTCTTGGTCAGTCTTTAGCTATTGTCTTGCTGTGTTTTATTTATTTTTTTGTTTTGTTTTTTGTGAGGAAGATCAGCCCTGTGCTAACATCTGCCAATCCTCCTCTTTTTTTTTTTGCTGAGGAAGACTGGCCCTGGGCTAACATCCATCCCCATCTTCCTCCACTTTATAAGGGACCCCGCCACAGCATGGCTTTCCAAGTGATGCGTCGGCGTGTGCCCGGGATCTGAACTGGCAAACCCCGGGCTGCCGCAGTGGAGCGCGCGCACCTAACCGCTTGTGCTACCAGGCCAGCCCTGTGTTTTATTTTTTATGCTGTTAAAAACAAATATTAATTTCCTTAATACTTGAACTGTTGTATGGATCCTCATTTCAAATAAAAGCAAATATACAGAGTACTTATTATTTATTTAAACTTTGGGGTATGCCAGAGTATCATTTTCAGTAAAAATACATAATGAGTTAGTGTTATATCCTCATTGCATTTTGCTCTCGATGGTTATTTTCAGTCCTAAAAAAGGGCGGATTGGGGAAGGTCACCAGGAACTCTATCCATCCTTGTGGTGTGTCTGTCAGAATGGGCTCTTGCTGTAATCGGTCCTTCTGGGAGCAGAGAGGGCAGGAGGTGCCTCCTGCAGGGCTCCAATCCCTGTGGTTGTCCTACTGGACTTTACACCAGTAACCTCTTTGGGCTTCAGACTCTTCTGAAAAATGATGTCTTTCTAGCTCTAAAAATCTGACACTACTTGGTCACCATAAATTTTACTGTGTAACACTTGCCTACAGAGACAAGATAATTTGTTAAATTTTGACAAAATGAATATTATTGGAATAGCATACATGAGGGATTGTTGAGAAGATGTCACATTTTTACATCCACGTTTTATCTTAAGTCCTATGTTCCTCTGGTTCATACTGATATTGTAAGTTGTGCCTAGAGTCTGAATTGGGCTCTCTCATGGTTTCCACGCTGACTTTTTATTCTCTCCGCTGAGTGGGACTAGTTGCAGGGTGGGGTGCAGCTGCATTATTACAGAGAAGGGCAAAGGTTCCATTTCCTAGAGACCCAAGGATCCAGTTGGGTGATGTGCCAGGTGATGTTGCCAGAGCCCATGCGTCCACCAGTATACACTGGGAGGGTTTGGGGCATTAGCATCTCCTTAGGCAACTTATAGGAAAAAGATTATGAGAAGGTACCCCTCAAAGCACAGTGGGCAAAAGGCAACAGCAAAGATTGGTGTGTGAGGGAGCACAATCTATAGCCTATTCTTCTCTCCTCCTAGTTTTCAGTGCTCTACATCCTGTCCTTCACCGTCATCATGGTGGGGTTTATTCTGTACTGCTCCACCCCGACAACCACCGCAGAGCCGGCTGGAAGCAGCGTGCCACCCGTCACGAGCATTGGAATCGACAACCTGGGACTGAAGCTTGAGGAGAACCTCCAGGAGACCCACACTGTGGTCTTGTAGCTGGAGAAGGAGGTCCACACGAGCTTCTGAGGCTTCCTGGGAAACTGGGAGCCACCACCAAGATAAAGCAGAGCCTCCTGACTGCTGAAGGGACACTTGGAAAATTATCAGGTTCAGAGCGAACACTCGACAGCATTGGATTGGATCCAGTGGTTAGATTTTATAAAGGAACATAAAATAATGTATCAAAAATAGAAATATCAAAATGGAGCAGAAGCCAAGGCTAGGATTGTGTTTCTGTGTGTCTGAGGACCAATACCTGTTAGTGTCACGGAGACAAGGTGTGGGTTCCACACTGGGATCTTGGAGGCACAAATGGGAAAGCAGGGGGGCAGACACCCAAGCACGAGCCAGCCTCAGGACAGGGCCTGAAATCAGGCAGTTCAGACTGTGCTGGGTGATCAGGAGGAGGGACAGTCCAGGGTGGTTCTGGAGTAGGTTTCCTCAGTTGGAGGCTTCTGGTTTTTGTCCTGCTGAGGCAGCCATTGTCCACGGGCCTCATGGCCTTTAGGCCACAGATGAGGTCTGGTGACTGCATATGGTGGGGAAAATGGGTGGGGCAGCACTTCTCAGAAATCCTAAGATCTAAGTGTGAGCACCACAGAAACATTCAAGTGGACTGCAGGAAACCTAGGAACCCTCTCCCAATTGTGAAAAGAGGCTACTACACTACTTCTTACCAAATATTTGTAATGTGCCATGCGATTTTTATGATACTTCTTCAATACAAAGTGTTAATATGTAGTATCATTACAATATCAACTACTAATATGCTGCTTTACAAAAACTCTGTAAAGTTGTTTTAGTAAAAATATAATAAAGAAATTGAGGGTAAATGTTCGTATTGTTAAAAGATTTTAATTTCATGGAAATACATTCACTGTTTGGTTTCTTTGATTAATCAGTTCCCCTTGTGGATTTTAAATGACTTAGTTTGTTCAAGATTTTTTCTTTTGTTTTTTTTTGTTTTTTTTTTTTTAAATTCTTATTTATTTATTGAGAAAGATCAGCCCTGAGCTAACTTCTATTGCCAATCCTCCTCCTTTTTTCCCCCAAAGCCCCAGTAGCTAGTTGTATGTCATAGTTGCACATCCTTCTAGTTGCTGTATGTGGGACGCGGCCTCAGCATGGCCAGACAAGTGGTGGGTCGGTGCGTCGGGATCTGAACCCGGGCCGCCAGCAGCGGAGCACGCACACTTAACTGCTAAGCCACGGGGCCAGTTCAAGATTTTTTCATATCCAACTTTTCAGAATCATGTCTTCTTCTTTTTTTTTTTTTTTAAAGATTTTATTTATTCAGTTTTTTCCCCCCAAAGCCCCAGTAGATAGTTGTATGTCATAGATTCACATCCTTCTAGTTGCTGTACGTGGGACTCGGCCTCGCGTTGGACGGAGAAGTGGTGCCTCGGGGTGCTTCCGGGATCCGAACCCAGGTCGCCAGCATCAGAGCGCGCACACTTAACCGCTAAGCCACAGAGCCGGCCCAGAATCATGTCTTCTTAAGGTGAGGCAAACCTATCTATTTGGGGCTACCCGAGATGAGGGGAATTCAGAGTGAGCTCATGGATCATTTGCAGGAATATACCTTTTAAAATTCTGAATTACCACAATGGGTTTTTTACCTTTTTGAGTGTGGTTACCTTTCGTTCTCTGCAGCCAATTAAAACTGATGTTTCGTTTTTGTCTCCTACCACTAACAACTGTCATTGAGTGAAAAAAAGATTATGTTAAAATGTTTGGTCTTTTGGGGAAGACTTTCAGTTTGATTACCACACTGAGGACTTCTTAAAATATCTTGCTTAAGAATAAGCCTTTACATATAAATAGGGATAGTGGTGAAGTAGAGAATCTCAGGTGACAACATCCCATGTGTCTGTTAAGGCTGAGCTCAAAGGTCATCTCTTCTATGAAGCCCTTCTTGGGCCATCTGGGCTGGGTCCACCCTACTCTAGGCTCTCAGGGTCCTTGTTCATATCCTCCTTGTAGCCCTTACTGAAGGGCTTGTAGTTTACCTGCCCCTCCTCACCACAGGGTGACCTCTTCCAGAACAACAGCAGCCTTTTTCCATCTTTCTAGTCCTTTGGTCATCTCACTTCTTGGGTGTTTATTAAATGAACTTTGTCTTTGGTTCCACTTCAGAACATTTAAGGAGATACTGACCTATATAGTAAGGCCTTTTATGTGGATACATGTAGGTAGCAAGTTATCCTACCCTGCTCTTCTCTTTCCACCCATCCCCCTTAATCCTACTGGTTCCCTTGCCTGCTCCCTCTGCAGAGGGGCAAGGGGGTTCTGACCCGGGCATCCTGAGGTAAAACTCAGAATTCAGCGTCCCAGAGAAGCAAAGCTGTGAATGACATTCAGCAATTAAATAATAGTACTGCGACGCTGTGCACCCTAGTTTAAAGAAGTTTGTTAAGACTGGGAATTTAACCAGCCTGTATAATATCACTTCTATGGAAAATGTGTTTTCAAACATCTGGCTTACACACAAGCTTTTGAAACACAATACATTCTTAAGTTGAGAACCTCTTGTAAATCCTTTTTCAGCCTATTAGAACAATATTGATTTTTCAATATTTTTTGTAGGTATTTATGCCATTAAACAAAACCCCACTGAATAGAGTAATAGAATTGCTAGATTGTTCCCTGGTGTTGTATAGATATAATAAATTGTTCAGCTGGACTGTGGTAACGCTGTAAGAAGAGAGGACTTTGCTGGTGCCATTTTCACTATTTGCATTTTGGAACTAGGTTCTCTTGTGGACAGGTAGTTAATTAACATTGCTCACCTTTCTGATACCAGCATCTGAGAGAAATGGTGTGTATTATCAGCGGCGTGTCCAGCAGGTGGCGCTCTAATAATTATTACAACCCGAAGATCTGTGGCATAAACAACCGCCTGTCTTTCATTTTATAGTACCTCAGTAATGTCCTGTTAAATCAAAGTGTTTTGTTTTTAAAGAGGGTATTGTGACGACTGTCCTTAGCAGGGATTGCCTTTGGTTAACAGTTGAAGAATCGAGGTCTCAGAAGAGTTGAAATGCCCTTTGCAGGTCACACGGAGTTTGGTGGCGAAGGTGAAGAAAGAATCCAGGATTCCTCTCAGTGCAGTCCCCACTGCTTCTCAAAACAGGGAATTCTAAGGGGGCCTGTCCCTGCGAGACCACTGAGCCAGAGAAGGCGAATGCATCTTTAGTGAGAGGAATTGGGAGTATTTTCGTATAAAAGCTAGCTTAATGGTGCAGTTTTCCCTGCGACTCTGGAGCCTGCCCTTTAAAGGAACTGTCTGCATTCGTCTCTGAGGAGTCTGTGTATGCTTAATCACGATTCTCTTTTCTGTCATTGTTATGGTGATGTGCCATTTTCATCCACATTTAATCACTTAGTATCTGGACATATCCTCAGCCCTCAAAAGATATCAATAAATCAGGGAAATTCAGCAGATAGCCACTTAGCTGATTAAAAGGCAAGAGATTTATGAGGAAATTAGGTAATGCTGAACATGCTGTTCTCCAATAGTTTTATAAACGGGCTTTTGAGAAGTCTGGCCATATTTAAATGGTATATCAAGGGGAGTAAAGCCTCTTAAGAAAGGCAAAATTTTACCTGTAGGATTGAATGTTCCAAAGTTTTTTCTCCCAGTGCTTTCATCATGTGCTTTATTCTTTGGTTTAAATATTGCCCTCTTCTAGCAATCTTAATTTAAAATGCAGATACTTGAAGAAGGAAATTTAGATTGAAAGGGAGAGAGAAGTGATGCCAATAAAAAAAAAACATGTAAGCCTTTTGTACAATTATTGGCTCCAAATGACCATAGCAAGCATTCAGATGGTGCCATATGCTCATCTCTCAATCAGCCATTGCAGAGGCCAGATTCTATACACAGAGTATGATGACTTGCAGGGCTAGTAGCTGGAGTTTCCATGCCAACCCCACCTTCCCTGACCTCGGATGGTACTTTCTTTCTGCCTGGTGACTGTGCTTTTCCACTTTTGCCTGAGTGTTTCACATTCTTTCAGATTCTTATTCTGACTTTGGTCTTGTGATACCATGTGGGACCTTATCCACCTTGGTCTTCATGAAAAGCCTGCTAGTCCAGTGCATGCACCTTTTCATGGGGGGAGACACAGTCATACACACCACCGTCACCACCATCACCAACGCCTTCCACCCCTGTTCCACACCTTATTTCTCGAGAAATTGCTGTCGTTGATAAGATTCATTGTAGCAGCTTCAGGAAATCTGCCCCCACCCTTGACATACTTCTAGAGGCATTCCTGTAGAACTTCATTTCCCCAGTCCATCTGTTAGATTCAGCGTATGTAGTACCTTTACTTGGACACAATTGTTGTACAACGTTTATTTGGTCTCGACTGTCAATTTGGAGGATCAGACAGGAGAGGGAGGGCCAAGGCTTGATCCCTGATCTGCTAACTAAAGAGTGAGACATGCTAGAGCAGGGAGATTTGGCTCAGGTGAGAGCCAGATTTGGCTGGTGAGCATAGGACACTGTCGTGAGTACTCTGGTCATGATGTAGGAACATGGTTCAAGCCCACATCTCATTGTGGGGAGCAGAGCAGGAGGACTCCAGGCCAAGCCAGGAGACACTGTCTGGGAGCTGTATTTGTAGAGAGCAAGACACCCTCTAACTGCCTGGAGTTCACCGGCTGCATGCCATTCTCCTAGGAAGAAGGCTGGCTAGGTTATGGGATGACACTCAAATAGATCCCCAAGATGGGGATGCGTGGGGCAGGGAGAAGAAACTGGAGAAAAGGAGAGTCCTAGGCCCTTGGTTCTAGGATGAGCTTCAGAAAAGTAACTGGGGGCACTGAGGACAGATAACTCAATTTGGCCCCCAAATAGTCCTGTGCCCATAGAATGTTCTTTAGCCTTCTAAAATAGACATTTCTCTAGCTGACTATCCCACCACTGCCTCAAACTCAGTATGTTGGACTGAAGCACATCACGGTTTCTATCCTCTTCACTTCCTCCATCATCTGCTCTCACCTTTGAGTTCCTACTTCTGATTTTCATATTTCATTAATGGCACTGTTCTAGTGTTGCTCAGATTCAAACCTCTGAAGTTATACTAGATTTATTTCTCACCCTTCACATCCAATAGGGCACCAATGGCTGTTAGTTCGTCTTTGATGACATCTTTCATGTCTGTCTGTCTGCCTCTCTCTTTTTTGTTCTTGCATTAGTTCAAATTCTCGTTACTTTTGCTCGGACTAGTCCTATAGCCTTCTAACTATATTGAGTCTCAGTCTACAGTTTCTTTTATTCTCTACATATTCCTAAAGTTCTTGCAATCTTACATATTCCTGCCAAAAGAACTTTTCTAAAATATCCCCAATTCACCCAGAAA